TTTTTTTTTTTTGAACACCCAATTTCCCGATATAAACCCGAAAAACATTTTTCAAAAAATACAGGACAACTCAGCGACCATGTCCCTCATGAAAAAAAATGTAAAAAAAAAATTTGTGCTTTTCTTTTTATTTTTTTTAAAATAATTTGTTTAAATCGATTTTTGTTTTTTATTTTTTCAAAATCTTAAACGAGGTCGGATTCCAGAACAAAAAATATAGGATTGTAGGGTTTTGCAAACCCTACAACCCTATATATATGTACTAGCTAAGCGCCCACAGTGCGGGCGGTGCGGGCTATGCCCGCAAACTGAGAAATGTTGTAGGGAACGTGACACAGACCAATCGCATAAACTCAAATAGACTTTGAAAAAGAAAAAAAAGTTGAATCACAGGGTGATAAAGAATAGCCAAAAATTGGCTACGAAGTCCGAGTTTAACTGACGATTGATTTATTTTCTTAATTTCAATTTGATGAAGGATTTCGATGTAACCCTAGGGCAAAAGTTGTTCAGTTTATTTTTCTGCATAACATAGTTTTGTTTTGGATTTTTTGGATTTTTTTTTTTTTTTTTTTTTTTTTTTTTTTTTTTTTTTTTTTTTTTTTTTTTTTGCTGGGACCTTTCCTGCTTCTTCCACGGGCTGGCTACCCGGAAACCGGACCGCCCGGCTGGTAGCCTAGAAAATCATTAAAAACAAAAGTAGAAGGAAGGGCGAGGAGAGCGGAGACAGACAAAGAGAGATAGAAAGAAAGGAAAATATAGAGACATAGAGAGAGAGAGAGAGAGAAAGAGAGAGAGAGAGAAAGAGAGAGAGAGAGAGAAACATGCAGAGAGAGAGAGAGAGAGCAACAAAAGAGCAAAGAATAAAAAAAGACCAACACCAATATACAAAGAGAAGAAGTCAAAATTATTTTCTTATCTCTCTCTCTCTCTTTCTCTTTCTCTCTCTCTCCCTCTCCCTCTCCCGCCCCCCATTTATTTATCTCTCTTGTAAGGGCAATTACTTAACCGAAACCGAAGCTGACCATAAAAAAATCTGCCATTAAGGCAACGCCTGGACGACCGCCCAATTAACATCTCTCTCTTCCTCTCTCTCTTATAAGACCGATCAACTTCCTTCACTGGAATGATACTCTTGCAGCACCTCACGAACAGAAACTTGTTGCAACACTTTGCGACGATACTCCTCAAAAGTTTCGAATCGACCTTGTCTTTGCCGATTGTAATCGAGATGAATTGCAGTATCAACACATCTCCAAGTGTTCATGCTCGTATTCAACTCTGCTGCTGCTTCCACAATATCCTGCACCCTGTGAGAACTGTCAAGATAGGACAGGTGTGCAAGTGTCTTTTTGGGACCAATAGATTCAAGAGAGTCATAAATGGCAATGTTAAAATCAGAAGAACTTGGTTGTTCCAATGGTACTGTATGGACATGCAAAGGATCTCTTGATGGCGTAAGAGCGTGCACAACACAACTGACAGGAGACGGAGTAGCCATAGCCAGGGTTGTCGAACCCCGGCCCCGGGACCCCGCCGGGGTTCCGGGGTTCCGGGGGTCGGCACCCGGGACCCCGGCCCCCTGTAGGGGAAAAAAAAAA